AAAAATAACCACTGCAGTCATAATAAAGGTATTTTATTTAGCGTAAGGATCAAACCAAGTGATACCCCTGTACAAAAAAATGGTTCTGATATCCAATACACAGGTGGAAGGCAAACCTTGACAGATATATATCGTGGTGGTGTCAGAGGCTGTCAACGGCCTTTCTGTCGAGTATACGGATGTACGGGTTTGATAATATCATACAGTTGCAGGTAAAGTATATCAGTTAAAAAGACATTGTCGTTGAAAAACGAACGTTCCTAGTCCGACCGTGTTCACGTCGACCCAGACGGTGAATACCACTGCAAACAAATTAAATGTGAAGATGATGTGAAAATAATTCTCCGTAATAATGACATGTTATTTTTTTTAAAATGTCGTTAATAACATGTACATTTCAGTACAAACATGACAGACAGATTAATTGAAAAATACTAGCCAGCACTGCTCCATCTATCACACTGATGCGCAAGCTCGTGAAGAACAAATGTTTGAATAAACCGCTCTGGCATTTTGTCACAACGGTGAAGTGATGAAGTTCTTTACCAAATGGTACCTTCATCAAACACGACCTGCAACGTTCGCCAACAAATGTCCTCTAGGATAGGGGACCTTTAACAATTTCCTGGGCCAAAGGGGTTAAATTCTCATAACTGCGACTTCTGTAAATGTGTTTTAGTACAATGATAATAACAAAGGGAAATGAACACATTCCATAAGCAATTCTGTTTATACCTCAGGCTGTTCAATTATAGCCTTGACACTATGATTCAAATATGCGAGACTACGACCCACTGTCCCCTGGTAGCAAAGAATTAGATTGGCTCTAAAGATTGCAAATGTGTCTTTTTTCTGAATATAATAGTTCCCAAACAATTACTTAATATAATGTACAAACAAATAAAAACTCTCACTTTGGATATTTGTTAGTACACATACACCTAAAAACTATGAAAAATGTGGAGTTTCATGAAAACTTTACAGAGATTCTTTTGCCTTAGGTCCATCTTTCAAAAGACAATTAAGACAATGACAATGTACATCATCTCATAAAGAAAACTTCATTTGACATATTATGAAAAGGATGACACTTTTAGCATATATACATACATAACTGCGGGTGTTTAACAGAGGAATACATAAATGGTATGAGAGAAAACAACCTTATGATAGAAGCGGAGACATGTCAAGAGGGGAATCTCCGTGTGGAACACAGCCACATCTACTGCTTCTCGAGTGTGTCGCATTTTGATAATAAATCTACATACAATTTATGAACGGGTTTTATCAATATCCAGCTGAACTTTATGAATACCACTACTCATTCTGAAGGAGTGTTACATATTTCGACGTTGTCAATTAGGTCACGAGTGTGTGACATACCTTGGAGATAAGATGCCACCATGTCTGATGAAAGAATGTGTGGCAAATCTCAAAGCTACAAATGCCGCCATTCCTGATGAACGATTGTCCGACATAATTATCTCCAAGCTATGAATGCCACCACTCATGCTGAACGAACGTCTGACATAATTATCTCAGAGCCATGAATGTCATCACTCATGCTGAACAAACGTCCGACATAATTATCTCAGAGACATTAATTTCATCACTCATGCTGATCGAGCTGAACGAACGTCCGACATAATTATCTCAGAGCCATTAATTTCATCACTCAAGCTGATCGAGCTGAACGAACGTCTGACATAATTATCTGAGAACCATGAATGTCATCACTCATGCTGAACGAACGTCCGACAAAATTATTTCAAAGCCGTTAATGTCATCACTCATGCTGAACGAGCTGAACGAACGTCCGACATAATTATCTCAGAGCCATTAATTTCATCACTCAAGCTGATCGAGCTGAACGAACGTCTGACATAATTATCTCAGACCTATGAATGTCATCACTCATGCTGAACGAACGTCTGACATAATTATCTCAGAGCCATGAATGTCATCACTCATGCTGAACGAATGTCCGACATAATTATCTCAGAGCCATGAAAGACATCAATAATGCCGAACGAGCTGAACGAAAGTCCGACATAATTCTCTCAGAGCCATGAATGTCATCACTCATGTCGAACGAGCTGAACGAACGTCCGACATAATTATCTCAGAGCTATGAATGTCATCACTCATGCTGAACGAACGTCCGACATAATTATCTCAGAGCCATTAATTTCATCACTCATGCTGAACGAGCTGAACGAACGTCCGATATAATTATCTCAGAGCCATGAATGTCATCACTTATGCTGAACGAACGTCCGACATAATTATCTCAGAGCCATTAATTTCATCACTCATGCTGAACGAACGTCCGACCTAATTATCTCAGAGCCATGAATGTCATCACTCATGCCAGATCGAGCTGAACGAACGTCCGACATAATTATCTCAGAGCCATGAATGTCATCACTCATGTCATCTGAACGAACGTCCGACATAATTATCTCAGAGCCATGCATGTCATCACTCATGCCGAACGAGCTGAACGAACGTCCGACATAATTATCTCAGAGCCATGAATGTCATCACTCATGCTGAACGAACGTCTGACATAATTATCTCAGAGCCATGAATGTCATCACTCATGCTGAACGAACGTCCGACATAATTATCTCAGAGCCATGAATGTCATCACTCATGCTGAACGAACGTCCGACATAATTATCTCAGAGCCATGAATGTCATCACTCATGCTGAACGAACGTCCGACATAATTATCTCAAAGCCATGAATGTCATCATTCATGCTGAACGAACGTCCGACATAATTATCTCAGAGCCATTAATTTCATCACTCATGCTGAACGAACGTCCGACATAATTATCTCAAAGCCATGCATGTCATCACTCATGCTGAACGAACGTCCGACATAATTATCTCAAAGCCATGAATGTCATCACTCATGCTGAACGAACGTCCGACATAATTATCTCAAAGCCATGAATGTCATCACTCATGCTGAACGAACGTCCGACATAATTATCTCAGAGCCATGGAATCACTCCTGCTGGTCGAGTATGTGGCAAACTCAAAGCTATGAATGTCCCCACTCACGCTGAACGAATGTCTAACATAATTATCTTTGAGCTATCACAGAGCTTTGAATGGAATCACTCCTGCTGGTCGAGTGTGTGGCAAATCTCAAAGCTGTGATTGCCATCATGCCTGCTAAACGAGTAGGAGGCAAATGTCATAGATATTATTGCTGTCATTCCTGCTGGTCGCGTTTGTGGCGAGTGTCAAAGCTATGAATGGAATCACTCCTGCTGGTCAAGTTTGTGGCAAACCTCAAAGCAATGATTGCCATCACTCCTACTGGTCGAGTTTGTGGCAAAGCTCAAAGCTATGAATGGAATCACTCCTGCTGGTCAAGTTTGTGGCAAACCTCAAAGCAATGATTGCCATCACTCCTACTGGTCGAGTTTGTGGCAAAGCTCAAAGCTATGAATGGAATCACTCCTGCTGGTCCAGTTTGTGACAGATTTTAAAGCTATGAATGTCATCACTCATGCTGTCTGACATAATTATCTTTGAGCTAGCTCAGAGCTATGAATGGAATCACTCCTGCTACAGAATAATTCGATAACTTGGTTAAAAGAGTGAACAAACGTTGATAATTGCAAATTATATCTTCTGACCAAGCTTGTTCGTGGGATTAGTATTGGCGATTTGCTGTGTGACATACCTCAAGTTCATGAACAACATCAGATTGTGAATATCACAATAAAATTATTTACTTATACAACTCAGAAATCAAATTCGATTTTCAATCTAATGCTCATTCTCTCAAGCTAAGACTTCCGCATCTTGAAGTGGACTCAAATCGCATGGTCCAGCCATGTTATGTGAAGGACAATTATGGTTATCTCAAAGCAACCTTTTAGTCCTTAAACTTGCACCACGAAGCCCCAAGCATAGTAAGTAAATATGTTACGTCCATGAACTGAAGGTGTGTCTTACAAATATATCGTGTTGGATGAAGGAGCACCTATGTGCACAGTTGTGATTCATGGCAAGGTGACAGCTATCCAAGTGCTGTAAAAATATCAGTTTGATTAAACGACATAAAATTGTAAATATACATGTCATATATGTGCCTCACGTAAGGCTAAAAAGTAGATAAAAAGTACTACATGGAATATTGCAATTTTTACCAGGGACTCACAAAATAAGAGTTAAATAAAACTCATTCATTAAACATGGTGCTTTCATTCTCGAATGAATTCAAAGTCGTCCGAACTGGATATATACGTTATGTTTATGCTTTTACGGCAAAAACTGTAACAAACATCAAATATATCATTTTAAAACGTCATAGTTAACACTGTGAAGCAAACAAGGTATTCTGCAATGATAGGAAAACAAACTATGGGGCTTGAAGAAGGTTTGAATCTGGGAGATTGGAAGGGAGATATGGAGGGCAGTGGAAGGATGGAGGAGGGTTGGTAGGGTTTGAGTGAAGTAGAAGAGTGAAGGGCATAAAGGACTGACGAAAAGAAACACAAGTTGAAGTTAAAAAGAAAGTATGTTGAAGGTATACGGTGAGAAGGGGTGGATCAATGATGAGGTATGGAGATTTCACAAAGGAACATGGAGATGAGAGGGACGGGACCTAAAGAGAATATATCAAGTTGAAGTATGAGTTTAAAAGGAAAGTATGTTGAAGGTATGAGTTGAATGGGATGGATCATGTGGTAGGTATCGTGAGTCGAGTGGTACACATGAAGAAATGAGGGCTAGGATATAGAGGGATGAAGAAACACAGATTGTGGGATTGGTTGACATGGAAGGTACACATGAAGAAATGAGGGCTGGGATATAGACGGATGAAGAAACACAGATTGTAGGATTGGTTGACATGGAAGTGAAAGAATGAGTTGATCGGGAAGGTCAGAAGCCTGGGTGGACTGGATGTAGGACAGTCCATGGATAACAGACAAGTTGCAGGATAGTGTTGACAGGAACAGTAAGGGGGAAGGAATTGAGAGGGGGTTGAATGAGTAGGGTTGGCAAGCTCTGGAGGGGTGATGTGGAGGTGAGAGTGTGAACATGAAGGTTGGCAAGTTAAACAGGGAGGGAATAGAAACTGATGATGCGTTTTGGAAAGGAAGGGTTTGTATGCAGCTGAGAAGGGTGAGACGGTGACTGATGAGGATTCTGGTGTACCGTGTGATGAAGACAGCGTGGATACATACTGGGATGGGAAGTGCTGGTTTGGTAAGGTGAACAGGGCAAGATGAAGCATCTTATGAATAGAGAAGGATGGATGTAAGACTGAGGAGGAAGATGGGGAGCTGAGGAAAACAATGTCAACGTTATGATGCACTGAAGGGGATGGACATAGGGGGTGTAAGGAAGAAAGGTGCATTTCAGATGAGGAAGATATATGTATGTGAGGAATTTAGACAAGGTATTGTTGGGTGAAGACTGTGAAGGGATGGAGGGGAACGGTATGAGGAGTTCAAGGGTTTGATTACACGAAGACATGTGTGATATAGTTCCACCACACATCACATGGTATCCAAGTGTCACCTGGCTTGGACATCGTGCAGGACACACGTGCCTCATGCATCTTAGTACAGCCTTGTCTCCCAGCTGTGATAACACGTCTTGTCTGTGAATATATCTGCTCCTCAGTATGTTCTGGTATTCTTCTGCTCCAATTGTCTCATATTTAAACATCAGTGGTAACAGGGCACAGGGTATCATCAAACACAAAAAAGTTTTTGTGCAGTTGGAACTGTCGAAGCATAAGTTCCCAGTCAAGATTCGTCATCGATATTGATATTGATTGTTGCAGACCAAGAAGCAAAGACATATATAATGACATATTGCACGTCTTGTACAATTACAGTACGATTCCTGCTAAATAACTTGCAAATGACATATTTGAAAAATATTTCATGTGCAAAATGTATGTTATAGTGCCATAATACGTTCATTAAAAGGCTTAGGTAACATTTGTTGTACTGAAAGTTTATTTTGCCCAACACTGACTTGCGCTACCGTTTGTGATTATATACAAGAGGACCATGGATGTTTCCCTGATCGAATATCAACATTAGGCTTTTCTCTGCTTCGACGCCATGAAAAATATGACGCATAGTCTCCTTAGTGAAATATCGCAATGTCGTTTTTCCACTTGTAAAATATACACACACACGAAACACAGAACATTATTCCATATGGAAGCCATTGAAATCGGAGGCAGAATCAGTGAGCAGGGACTCCGGTGCGTGGACATATAAACATGTGCCCAAATGTTTAAACTACGTTTTAAAAGACGCCAAAACACTGTCACAAATGAAAAATGCGAAGAAATGACGTGTAGGCTATCCATTGTAATCTAAAACCAAATTCGGTATCCTAGATCGTCCTCCAATTGGTGCGTTGCGAAGTGGCTGCGTATATTGGTGATATTTGTATCCAGCTTTGAGGTGCTTCTCCAGCTCGTGCAGGACTTGTGGACGCAGGGCCTTCCGCCTTCTGTACGCTGCATTGCCCATAGACTCAGCTACAACTACCGACGTACAAAGAACTCGCTACATGCTGAGACCATACCACTTGGTATCAACTACAACATTTATCTTAATGCTCTAGACTTCAGTTCCACAACCAGTCTAGTTTAGCTCAGCCTGCTGCCCTGGGAAAGTCTTTCTATCAGAAGGCCACAAAATATAGTTTGAGCAGGATTTATGTAATCTCCCATCACCATTGAGGAAACTTCAGACTTTAACACTATCAGTCCTTACACCTCCGTTGATCATTAATTCCGTCTCCTCTGTGTGACGCATAGCCGAGTCGGACACATCTTCAACTGTTATGGACACCGTGGGCTTGGAGGGCGACCTGGAACACGCAGTGACAGGGCACATTGTTCAAAACCGTTGTTTAAAAGATTGATTTATCACACATACCCAGTCAAAACATACTTTAGAGGGAATCAATGTGAAGGCTAGTTGTTCTCTAACTCTTATATTTACAATAAACCATCCTCCTTAAACAGCTAAATGTTTTAGGGTGGGCATTTGAATTTGGTTTCACGCCGGTTTTAGCAGTATTCCAATATTGCTGAGGGAAACAAACAAAGGAACACGGGAAAGTTCAAGTGTTCCTTTAATATTCTCCCGTTTCCATCACCAGCTTTGAGTAGCGCTGTGGGAGGAAATCTGAGAATAAATGAAGGAACAGAACACTGCCATGAAGTGGTGTACCCTTATTTATTTCCCTAAGTATATTTTGGGCTTTTCAGCTTATTTGGGAGGAATGTCCGAAACAATGCAGGTCTGAGATGTCCACTACTTCTGAGAAATCCATGGGCGTGAGTGATCTAGAAACATAATTGTGGCGAACCGGTATTCGACCCCAGACTTCTGGTGTACGCAAGGGATGCCACTCAGCATATCGGAATGGGGCGCTTTGACGACCGGGGCTACCATTGGTGTTTATGCTTAACGGGTTATCACTTTGATAGATACTTTAGAAGGAATAGCTTGTGTTACTTCTTTCCTCTGACATTATGCTACACGCCGTGATATATCTATGTCTACATGAGCGACTGCCCGTGAATACCCGGTTTAGAATTGATCTTTAGTAACCCATGCTTGTCGTAAGAGGCGAATAACAGGATCGGGTGGTCAGGCTCGTTGACTGGATTGTCTGGTTCAGACTCGATTATTTACAGACCGCCGCCATATAGCTGAAATATAGCTTAGTCGCTCACTCAAATGATTGGCGTAAAACAAAGCTCAGTCTAAATTATCGCCCAGTATCTTAAAATGAATTAGATCAGCTCGTGGAGTCAATGTTGTACACTTTATCAACAGACTAATATTTTTGTTTCAATTGTGGATAGTTTCATGAATAATTCATATCACAGGCTCAATGTATCTAACAATCAGACAGTAATCAATAAAGTTGGGTTACTTACGAACTGTCTATCGTTGAGAAGTTTTCCGATGGAGCAAGGGGGTACTGCCTCCTCGTCAGAGCCCATGTTCGCGTGATATTGGTGGTGGTGCGATGTGTGATGGTGGAGGGGAGAGTGGTGCTCTCCCTTGTAACTAGGGCGACGAATGACTCCATCAGGCGATCCGAGATGGCTACCATTTTCATGGTGACTTCGTATACTAGCATGCGTTCCTTGGTTTCCTTTAGATTCGGATGACATCACAGAACTCTGTCAAGAAAAAACAACTCATATTAACCCTTGACAACATGAGATCCTGAATTATTCTATTGATCAAAATACACCTCTCCTTAACAAAACATTGTACTTTTCACATAAAATCCGCTTACTTTAACAAAGTTAATCATAATATTATCAACACTGCACATCCCCGCCTTTGGTCTGGGCTTGTAGGTGAGGTGGTGAGGCTCGGTGGACTTTCGACAAAGGGTATTTCCAGATGTTAAACAACAGAGGAAAACAAAAACCAGAGCATTATATTTCTATGTCACATTCGTGCCAGTCTATGCTGGACGTGTCTGGTTATACTGACATAGAATCATATTCCCAGATAAATGCGTATATTCCTGTAAATATATTGTAGTGATTTAGCTATATTTGATTTTCCAACCAAGCAATCGTTTGCACTATGGTTCCATATACCGAAGTATGAAGGCAATGGCCCCATTAATTTATACTGTTGTCATGATTTTCGTGTTCAATTAATCAGTGAAGTTGTTATTTTTCACGTTTACTGATGAATATTTGGGTAAAATATGCCTTTGCGTTGATGAAGTTCTGAATGTTTACACCAATGTTTCGTAAATACAATACGCGGACTTACACAGCATGTACTCTGTTTTCACGTCTTAACCTCCCAAACACAAAACTCTTATAACAACTACAACTGTAAAATTTAATATATATCGTCAACGACAGGGAACAATCTCGACAACACAATCCCTACATAATGTATATCTTATATGAAGACAGAGATGATACATCAAAATAGCGTTCGGTCGCAGAAATATCCATCCAAATTATGATTATTTTCAGCTTCATAGCTTTATTCGAGGTTGACTCCTTTTTGAATATATCCTCCCGGGTCTGGGAGACGGAAACACGAAACATGGAATCAGTTATTAATACTGACATGAATGTTCTATATCATATGACAGACGCTATATCAAATTACAACAAAACGCCCCCATAGGCGACAGAAACAAGACTCACTTATCCTAGATCTGAATCACGTTTACAGAAACTTTGCCGGACATGACCCATAGTAAGCCACCACCGACTACTAGGCTAATGTCACCCACTACATCATCTTGCGATCAAATCTAGTTTATAGACAAATATGGTGTTTGTTTTTGTTATGAACCGGAAAATACATCAATATACTTGATGGACTGGTTTAGTGATGAGACGTTATCACCGTACTACATGTAGGCCACATAGATAAAGACGGAATTCAAGGCTTATATAAAACCAAACTTTGTGGATTGTTTCTTCCCAAGAGCCCCAGCTTTCATAAAACAGCAAACATAGTATTATCGTGGAGGTATAATTCTAGCGTACCATGCAACAATTGTCTACATTAGACCGTACCTTTTAATACAACAGTGTAATTGTTCCTCTATCCTCACACCTCAATTGCAGAGTACTGCACTACCCAGACCCTTAATCAAGAACATACACAGCCCCGAATGTTGGATTCACAGTGATTCGCTGCTGGCTATAGATTTCCAAATGTGAAAGGATTACGAACAAAAACTCCTCTAGTAAAGTCAGTCAGTAACATTAGAGGACTCGGCACCGACAGCAGCTGACACGTGAGCTGGGAAGCCACCCCGAAAAATCGATCAGAAAAAGTACTCTCGGGAAAAGAGACACTGTGCTTCCATGGTTGCCAATATCGACGAGGCCTGATAATGTTTTCCATCAGAATAAGCCAAAATTATTGATTCCATTGGCCTTCCCATGCTGTTTCCCTGGCCGGCATTTCCAGACCTTCTGCTGCTCCTGTGTTAAAGATGCTGTTTCATTTCCGCACACCAGTATTTAATAGATCCCGACAACTGTACATTTACACCAACAATTTACCTAACTGTCCCACGGTCAAATGCTTTAGTCAAAGGAAGCTCTGGTCAAATACCGTTAGTAAAACTTTGTAATACCAAAGTGTCCAAAACAGTACGAAGTTTCAATGGTTCTGACAAGTAGGTCAGTGCATTAGTTATTTAGTTGACAACGTATATAGCTCCAGAGATGTCTACACACTGAATTGTTAATTAAAAGTACCATCCATAATGCATGCAGGAGATATGTCATTATGCCTGATATTGTACCGTATCAGATTCCACTACCAGGTTATATTACCCAGGCACACAATACATGACGTTCACTTGGGGGGAGAATAATTCACGACATCTTATCGCCATAGCTTTAACTACAAAGGAATAGTAATGGCATACTGTTGTAAATCCCGTTCATTACAGTCCTGCCATTAGGCATCAATAAACACAATCAATGTTGTTCATTAACCGTCAAGATGCTCGGGACTATTACCGTACAGGGAGTTGGCTGGAGATAGATGGCCCTAGAACATGTCCATGCTATCAATCTTTATTAGGGCTTTCTTCTTGGAAAAACATCTTTTAATTATTGAGGATGTTTTGAAACGCGTATGTGAATGGCCCAGAAATGAACCTATTTGAAACAAAACAATTGTTTAGCTGTACTGACTGACTGACTGAGTTTGGTTTTACGCCGCTTTTAGCAATATTCCAGCAACATCACGGCGGGAGACACCAGAAATGGGCTTCACACAATGTACCCATGTGGGGATTCGAACCCGGGTCTTCGGCGTGACGAGCCAACGCTTTAACCACTAGGCTACCCCACCGCCCTGTTTAGCTGTAAGGACAATATATCTTGATATAGGTCACAACGTCAGACGGTGCTGACGAAGTGCTTTTGGATATATCACGACAATATACATACATATACCTCATTCTTGTCGATCTAATTAAAATGTTATCGGAAGTGAATATTGCTTAACGCCGCAGCGATTTTGCAGCTTTTACTCGATCGTGAGGTGACGACATCTGACCTTGCTCTGACTGTATCATTGCACAGATGACGATCGTGTTGTCAGCATCTGGTGCTGGGGAGTTATATTTACATTGAAGGGCTCTGGAGTATTATTGTGATGACTATAGTAATTATCCTTTTTGATGTTTGACGCTTTAAGTCTGATTAATGTGATTTATCATGCAGGCGATTCAATCTGAACAAGTAAGCTAGTCTGGTGTTTTACACGGGTGTATAAGTATACAAGAATCTGCAGATGTAGCAGTTACTCCATTGGTGTCTGTCATATTCAGATACTTAATACTTGTTGGGTGTCGCAATTATGTAATATTTTTCTTTTACCCGTTTAACGAGTGCTGAGAACACACACAATCTCTTTTTAGTATCTGTTTAAAAATCTGAACTGCTTTTAATTCAAGCAAGGGCAGATTACTGTAAATGGATATAGTTGCCCAAGGTGAAAGAATTTACTAACCAGTGATTAGGATTCGCGCCAACGGTGAAGATAATTAACCGTTATCATATGACAGAACCTATAAAATATTAACCCCTTTCTCTCCTTGTTTTATCGTGTTTTCATTTATTTATAAGTAGAAGATTTTTCGAACTGAAAAAACTAACATTTAAAGAAACCTTTAACGAAAGCATTGATGTGATGGTCATATTACAATCGTTAGGCGTATCCCGTCATGCATCGAGCTGAAATGGCAAAGGTCAGACACGAATACTTGCTGAGTTTAAGAAATATCACTTGTAAGTCCAAATAAGCAGTATGACTGCAACTGCAGTTGAATTGTGTTCGTGCAAGTGCTCTTTAAATAATACTTAAATATGGAGATAATGGTAGATCAGACCACGGTGAAAATATTCATCCAACCTTTATGATAATACGGTCGAGCGTACAATTAAGTAAGAATTTATCCATCTACCCGCCTCTCGGGTATTCCCCCACTGATCACATAGAACGAATTCTATCCAGCCAACCATTAACAAGATCCCGCCATATTGATCAGCGATGAGGCTGCATATCCATTCATCTGCCCGCCATAGAAGTCAAAGCCCACTGGTGATTACTTCAGTGCTAAGGTTGTCTATATTACTAAACACGGGGCACATCACGTCTTCTGCGCTATAGGATGCTTCGTATAGCTAGCAACAACAACACCAGGAACCTTCCAACAGACCTCATTTTCTGGTAATTGCGCATTCGTGTTGTAGGGAAAACCGACGGCAAATAGCCGAGGTCTTCCATCCCAACGGTAACCTCATGCCCGTTGAACAGTGCACTTAACCAAGGGTTTAGATTTGGAATATTTGACAACCTAATGAAACAACTAGCTGTTGAATAACCGCATATCTCTAATGCTGGCTTTTCTGGAAGTCTTTAATCTGCTGACAGGTTGCTTCTCGTCACATTACCTTTTTAGAATTGCCTTGTTCTTTCCGATTCCCTTTATCACTCTAATACATATAGGACGACTCTTTAAATATTTTCAATCTTCGGAGCCTTTCCCGATTTGCAAGGTCATGAGATGATAAAAATATAACAACATGTATCGTATCAGGCAAGGGATTTAACAAGCTTAAAAGCCCACACATTCAGAGTAGTGCAAACGTTTTGGGTCGGTCTTTGATAGATAGTAAACGGCCACTTTGTAAAGAAGAGAGAGAGAGAGAGAGAGAGAGAGAGAGAGAGAGAGAGAGAGAGAGAGAGAGAGAGAGAGAGAGGCACACACAGAGAGAGACACAATGAGAGAGAGACAGAGGCACATCTTTAAACTGTCCCTTTGGCCATTTTGACATTATGCATACTCATATGAGAGAGAGAGAGAGAGAGAGAGAGAGAGAGAGAGAGAGAGAGAGAGAGAGAGGAGAGACACACATAGAGAGAGAGAGAGAGAGAGAGAGAGAGGGCACATGAGAGAGAGAGAGAGAGGCACATAGAGAGAGACACAATGAGAATTTTCTTTAAACTGTCCCTTTGGCCATTTTTGACATTATGCATACTCATATGAGAGAGAGAGAGAGAGGCACATAGAGAGGGACACATAGAGAGGGACACAATGAGAGAGAGGCACATAGAGAGATACGCAATGAGAGAGAGAGAGAGAGGCACATAGAGAGATACACAATGAGAGAGAGAGGCACATAGAGAGAGACACAATGAGAGAGAGAGTAAGATGCACACAGAGAGACACAGTGAGAGACCGAGTGAGATGCACAGGGAGAGAGACACAGAGAGAGAGATTCGCCAAGCAAAATACATGAAAACTAAATAATTTCATTAGATTCCTAACTGATAGTTCTTCACAATAATTCCGGAACGTATTAAAGTAAACATGAATTTATAATTTCATTTATTATCACGTAAGTCAAGTTGAATAATTAATGTATATTCTGTAAACGTGCAATTCTATACGGTGCTGTTATTTCATGTTAATTCAGGAATTGCTTGATAAAGTTATAATTAGGTACTTGTCCTTTCTCTAACATCTAAATTGGTTGTGCAAACAAGTAAACGTCGACAGCATTTAATAACCACGCATTACTTCAACAAAATCAAATAGCCGAGGTCTTCCATCCCAACGGTAACTTCATGCCCGTTGAACAGTGCACTTAACCAAGGGTTTAGACTTGGAATATTTGACAACCTAATGAAACAACTAGCTGTTGAATAACCGCATATTTCTAATGCTGGCTTTTCTGGAAGTCTTTAATCTGCTGACAGGTTGCTTCTCGTCACATTACCTTTTTAGAATTGCCTTGTTCTTTCCGATTCCTTTATCACTCTAATACATATTCACATATTTTCCAGGACGACTCTTTAAATATGTTCAATCTTCGGGCCTTTCCCGATTTACAAGGTCATGAGATGATAAAAATATAACAATATGTATCGTATCAGGCACAGGATTTAACAAGCTTAAAAGCCCACACATTCAGAGTAGTGCAAACGTTTTGGGTCGGTCTTTGATAGTAAACGGGACTTTGTAAAGCATTTTCTCTAAACTGTCCCTTTGGCCAGTTATGACATTATGCATACTCATATGAGAGAGAGAGAGAGAGAGAGAGAGAGAGAGAGAGAGAGAGAATGAGAGAGAGAGAGAGTAAGATGCACAAAGAGACACAGTGAGAGACCGAGTGAGATGCACAGGGAGAAAGACAGGCAAAGCGAGAGAAACAGAGAGAGAGAAGGGGGAGAGGGAGAGAGAAAGAGAGAGATAGAGGGAGAGAGAGACAAAATGAGAGAGAGAGAGTAAGATGCACACAGAGAGACACATTGAGAGACCGAGTGAGATGCACAGGGAGAAAGACAGGCAAAGAGAGAGAAACAGAGAGAGAGAGAGTCGCCAAGCAAAATACATGAAAACTAAGTAATTTCATTAGATTCCTAACTGATAGTCCTTCACAATAATTCCGGAACGTATTAAAGTAAACATGAATTTATATTTTCATTTATTATCACGCAAGTCAAGTTGAATAATTAATGTATATTCTGTAAACGTGCAATTCTGATACGGTGCTGTTAGTTCATGTTAATTCAGGAATTGCTTGATAAAGTTATAATTAGGTACTTGTCCTCTGTCTAACATCTTAATTGGTTGTGCAAACAAGTAAACGTCGACAGCATTTAATAACCACGCATTACTTCCACAAAATCATCTGTAACATCGAAATAAACTCGGATAATATAAACGGAAGCGTTTGTAGTGAAACGGTCCCGATTAATAAATTTGCGAATACATTTTCATCAACCGCGGCGAATATTAATTAACACTGGAGAATCAACAGTCTCCACAATTCGCTAGAAAAGATTTCACAGGATCAGCGGTGGTTGGTTTATGTGAATGGACCGCTTATAATCAGTGGTGACACCAGGTGTTCGCGAAATGATGAGCAATGGTTCTTTTAACCACAGGAACACAAGGGTTCCATAATGATTCTACTGGTTTCCAATAATGATTCTACTGAAAGTGAATGATAAAATAGTGATGACCATTGCATGAATAGAAAATCACTGATGACGTCAGGTGTCCACGAAAAAGGAAATCATGTCTTGGTCTATCAGTAGCATCCACCTCTCACACCACTCCACTATTTAACCATATTTAGACATTTGCATTCGTCATCGCCTTGAAGCCAAGGTTTCGAAATGACGGTGTTTCATTATACGTCCTAACGCCTACAAACACAATAATATCAATTGGTAACTTGAAACATGAAACGATAGTCAAAAACAAAGTAATCATTGATTTATAATGGAACATATGATAACAGTATACAAAACCCCTTTTACGTGAATGTCACGTGAAGATGACCGCCTTTATAGGTACATGTAAACGTATGTACAGCTATACATAATATCTCCTTACAACAATCACAGTTGTTACTGCGGGTTCAACTTTATTCTTGAAATACCTGTCAGGCATATAATTACAGTGTGGATTTATATTTCCAATCTCAGGGAACATCTGTGCATACAGGGTATACAGTTCACGCCAGATGGGATATCTGGTTCGCTATCCCCGGCGCTGACGTCTTACATTGTGTACGTAAGTTACACATGAAGTCAAGGACACAACCGTACAACATGTGTTCCACTCGCCCGTAGGAGAAGGGGAAGGAAGGGGTAGGGGCGAGGACAGGCTAGGGAAGGGGGTGAGGACAGTGTGTGTGGTGGGGGGAGGAGGGGGATGCATTCTATTCTGTTCTGCTTCTCAAAACATTTTTTCTTCCTTTCGAACATATTGTCTTTGAATGTTGTGGATACCTTGGAGCGGATATTCTGAGCTGGACAACTTGTACCCAAGGTTTTCGAAAGGCATTCGGAAATGATAAACATCAAAGGAGGAAATTTGATATTTCAACTTGTGTAACACAACGTTTTGGAGTATTTTCTTATTCCTTCAACAGGTGACTGAAGCTTGGAGTGAGTGAGTTTGGTTTTACGCCGCTTTTAGCAATATTCCAGCAATATCACGGCGGGGGACACCAGAAATGGGCTTCACACAATGTACCCATGTGGGGATTCGAACCCGGGTCTTCGGCGTGACGAGCGAACGCTTTAACCACTAGGCTACCCCACCGCCCCCGAAGCTTGGAAGCATGTGATGAAACATATACATGTGATGAGACAACAAAGGTTTAACTACTTGTACCAGTCTGTTTTACTACTAAAAATATATTTTGTTTAAACTGAAACATATATTTGTCTTGACTGCTAGCTTCTAGACATTTCTACCTGTAATTACAGATAAATACAAGTTTTTTTCTTTGACTTACCTGTTGGTTGGCATCTCTCCGGATCTGATCTCCCATTCCGTAGCAACAATAGTAAACCACAGCTCCAAATAGCATGCCCACACCGAGCGTGCACATTATAGGGCCTACCGCTTTGTACATACTGTAAACAACACATAATTATTGTCACAATTATTGTTTAACAATATAGGTTCTATAATACAATAGATGGGACATTAAACATGTCAAGCAAAACCTTTAAAAAGTACAAAACACCTTTTCTCATTCGGAAGTCATCTCACAGAAACATCTCCCTGTTGGAACATTATTCATAACAAGAGTAAGTGAGTTTAGTTTTACGCCGCCCTTAGCAATATCCCAGCTATATGGCGGCGGTCTGCAAATAATCGAGTCTGGGCCAAACAATCCAGTGATCAACAGCATGAGCATCGATCTACGCAACTGGGATACGATGACATGTGCCAACCGAGTCAGCGAGCCTGACCACCCGATCCCGTTAGTCGCCTCTAAGGACAAGCATGGGTTACTGAAGACCACTCTAACCCGGATCTTTGCGGGTATATTAATAACAGGAGAAAACAGTAAAGCAATAAATAATATTACCCAGAAAGTAATGCTTTGTTTAATGTCCAAACTGCAAAATTGAACTATTACCTAATATCATATCATTTTCACTTTTTTGAGCACAATTACCTACATGTGTTACACAAAATATTTTTACGAGACTACTAATATAAATGTATTTCCATAAAAATCAGCATGGTGGAATTACCAATTGCGAAAGTAAAGAGTTAAAATTTATTACTCAACGACCAAACATTGGTCACATAAAAGAAAAGCTGTCACAATGTTGTTTTTTCTCACATTGTACGCCATGTCATTGTGATTGGATGTTTACGTACAATGAAATCGTCATAACCTGACTTCAGACAACCCTGTTCTCAACACGCTCGGCTCACCAGTAATTCCTACTCTTGTACAAATGACATGTTCACACAATTTGAATTTGTCTCAAAATTTCGGCCTGAATATCTTCAAATGCACTTGTCTCTTTTGTATGTGTGACGTATTTACAAACAAATGTATCTTTTCATACATCCATGATTCTAGTATCACCTGACGCAGATGTTTTCAGAATACATCGTATAATATAAGACTGGCTGACTAAACTCAAAGGTTGTCAGACGTGGGCATCTCTAAATTTGGTTCCATTCGTCGACGACATATTCCTGAAACAGCCATGAATCAGATCATATTGTCCGTGGTATTTATGTACGTGTGAAATGTAGATGTAGTCATATGACCTCTACATCAAAGCATTTACTTGTTCAGCGATATATTCAGTACATCTTATTGTCCTTTCTCTGATTACACTTATCAGAGGGGTACACAAGGTCCGCAGTCTAGATTACCAGTTGTCCGACTTCCATTTGTAGGATTAGGAGGCTGACTTTGTGTGCTGGCGATTAGGTGCCTGACTCTGATGGTGTGGGTTCGAATCCCGGATGGGACTCAACCCAACAAAAAGTACTGGAATCTGTACTTTATCAAGATAGTGTAATCCCAAATATAACATATGTTATATGTCCTTTCCCTGTAGCTTCAAACTAAATATACACAGCAGGGTCATAAGAAGCTTCAAACTAAATATACACAACAGGGTCATAAGAAGCTTCAAACTTAATATACACAAGGGTCATAAGAAGTCATAAAATAAGCTTCAAACTAAATAAATATACACAGCAGGGTCATAAGAAGCTTCAAACTAAATATACACAACAGGGTCATAAGAAGCTTCAAACTAAATATACAACAGGGTCATAAGGTCAAACTAAATATACACAACAGGGTCATAAGAAGCTTCAAACTAAATATACACAGCAGGGTCATAAGAAGCTTCAAACTAAATATACACAACAGGGTCATAAGAAGCTTCAAACTAAATATACACAACAGGGTCATAAGAAGCTTCAAACTAAATATACACAACAGGGTCATAAGAAGCTTCAAACTAAATATACACAACAGGGTCATAAGAAGCTTCAAACTAAATATACACAACAGGGTCATAAGAAGCTTCAAACTAAATATACACAACAGGGTCATAAGAAGCTTCAAACTAAATATTCACAACAGGGTCATACGAAGTATTATACTTACATCCCTTTTCCGGGAGACATCGAGTCAGTTTCCTTTGCCTGTTGTATTCCGAGAATCGTCAAAGTAAGCCCCGGAATAAAGAGGATGGATCCCACAAGTATTATCATTAACAAGCGACTGAGGGAGAAGGTATGGGGTCTGTTGTAAAGTCGCCGGGCCCGCTGACTGCGGTGCCGCAGCATATTGGCGTGCAATGCAGGCCTCATGACGACACAGTGACGAAATCACAAAGTATGAAAGACTGAGAGTATCCGATTGGTGTCACTTGAATCCGACACGTGGCCTCACATATTGACCTGGAACAAACAGACATACAGTTATAAATTAATAACAACGGTTGGGTGAGCTGGGGTTAACGCTGCCTTCAACAGTATTTCAGTTATTTCACAGCGTGGGAAGAAAACCTAGAAACATTATAGGTACGAGCAAGGATTCGAACACACTATACAGATTTGTGTACACACCAAGGGACGCAACCTTGCAGAACGAGTCCCACGACAGAACCGGAAGGGAGGGCACTAGTGGAAAAAGAATACTCATTTAATTCGTACAAATTATTAAGTTGCAAAAGGGACTTCTTTTGTAATGGGTAAATTATAAAACACTTTATACAACTGACGGAGGTGTGTTTGGCCGAGTAATTGGTAGCCATTTGTTGAGCAAACGTGCGTCCCTTACATCTACCAGAAACCTACCTCATACCCATTGGCAGCGGAATCAACTGAAGCAAATGTGTTCACTTTCGACAAAAATGGAGGTCAACAAATTCAGCACGGCTATTATTTCAAAGGATCTCTGATGACATGGCATTAATGTGTTACATTATAAGTTGTTCACTGGTCACGAGGGGGACATGGGCTGATGTACATTCTATGTTTGTTTATGTTCCATGAGCCCGAAGGGCATAACATAAACAAACATAGATGGTACATCAATCCATGGGCCCCGAGGGACCAGTGAACAACGTATATATCTTACCGAACACCTCAATGTTTATTTTGAACTGTTTGAAGCCCGGGTATTGGATCATAATAAGGAGTACCGGAGTTAGGCAACAGCCCAACACTACTAACATTAATAACACGAAGTACCAAACGAATTCCCACAGTTCGGCATTTCCAGCGGGTAACATAGAAAATATTACTCGCTTGTAAGCAGGGTACGTTGATCAGAATACGACATTTACGCGTGGGGTGAAGGGTTAAGACAAGTCTCAAGTATCCATTGCTAGTCTAATCAGGCATATTCTTCATTGGTTATCCAGGACAGGTAATCAACAGCTGGTTCTTTTCAAGCCGATGTGGTACAATTGTAATTGTGCTTAAACAATCTAATGTGCATATGGTTTACAAATCACACCCGGCGCACCGCATTAGCTATTTCACAATGCCTGCAGCCTAATTGAGCTAACACCACCACCTATGTCCACATCATCCTGCTTGTTTGGCTTGATTGCTGTTTAACGCCGCACTCAGCAATATCCCAGCTATATAGCGGGCGACATTATGCTGACAGCACCCATGACGTCAGTACGAGCGACGGTGATTGCAGTTGATGTTACGTGATATTTGTTATTGTTGCTATGTTGGCAATATTGGCCTCTAAGCATGGCGCTCTCAAAATAAATTGCTGTTCGTTCGTTCAGTAAATATGAAAGTACACACGTTCGAGAAAATCAAATATCACAAAATTACATGTGTGTATACTTATCGACATAATTATAACCAGATTAGGAGCCTCGTAAATTACTAATAGGAGAATGCATAGCATCACTGACATCGCCAGTGCCACAGAATGACGATGTCATCATATCATGACAAGATCACATCAATATGCAATTACCGTGACAACAATAGCTCTGTAACTACAGCACTGCAGAACACAGAATTATCATACCAGACTAACAGCATGTATGTGTGTGTGTGTGTGTGTGTGTGTGTGTGTGTGTGTGTGTGTGTGTGTGTGTGTGTGTGTGTGTGTGTGTGTGTGTGTGTGTGTGTGTGTGTGTGTGTGTGTGTGTGTGTGTGTGTGTGTGTGTGTGTGTGTGTGTGTGTGTGTGTGTGTGTGTGTGTGTGTGTGTGTGTGTGTGTCTATGAATGAATGCTCTGTATTTCCTCCAATAACTTCGGACAGTGATCCAGATCAGTTTTTATCCCTAGTATCACATTCAACATGGTATTTTGTAAAGAAGTGAGTTTAATTGTTCAGAATACAAAAACACTTAAATCAGCTTAGTGGAACAGGTGTCACAGTTTCCCATGAGGGCAAATACCCAGCATGTACAGAGAGTGTCCGAGAGTAATGGCTGAATCACCATGTGTTGGATCAGATGCTTGATGGTCATTTAGAAATTGGAAGTTAGCATAACAACGTATGACATGGCAGTTTCTGGCTACTTTATCACGTGAATGATGGCCCCTTCATCATTCACCTGATGAAGGAGCAAGAGGTAGCCCAGAAACGCCGTGTTGTAAATTATATATAAATACGCCTCTCAAAGAAATAATAAAGAAGTTGTAAATCAATACCATACGTTATTATGCCATGTGTCGGTTAGTTTAATCGGCAACGCACACAGTATTGCTTAACTGTGACGTTATTTGACCTTATTCACATTTGAATCGCAATCAGCTGCGGCTACATCGGTGCATTGTTCAAGTGATCTTTCGGCATTGTCCCGTTTCAAATTCAAATTGGTGTACAACCTTCACTACAGCAGTGCAGGCCTGGCAGTGTCAGTTCCAGTTAAACGACCAACTTGTCTTTATAAATGTCACTGGAAACAAATGGCGGAGTGTACACGGATCTAATTATCTCGTTACAAATTTTGACAGAAAAATTAGGGACGCAGTGAACACCAAACTGTCCAGTTATCTGAATTTTTTAGTCATTCTGTTTGGAAGAGATGACATTGAAGCAATGACATACACAAATACAAAACACATTTGAAAGCACAAAATTGAAACGATTACTAAACGATTTGAAATGACTAGACAAGTACATCTCCGGCGCGGAATGATGACTTAGCATTACGCCGCTGCCAATGGCAAGTATACAAAACCAGTTACCGAAATTTTAATTTGTTTGAAAACTAACGCGCCTAGTGTAGTCTTATGTGATTCGCTTTCAGATTCGCTTTACCTAATTTATTATGTTGTCGCAGCTGTTATATTGAAATAGGTTTTCACGCTTTATGAATTTGTGTCATAGCGATGTAACCATTGTAACACATATGGCTAATATACGTGTAGAATCATCAAAAATATAACAGATGAAACAAACATCGTGTATGGACTGTGACAGACCAATTAGCGCTGGCCACTAGAAGAGGTAATATGTTGGCCACAAGGAACTCTTGGAAGGTGAGTGGATCTTAATCCTACTGGCCCATTTCCCTGTATACATGGTTACCATGAACCGTACAAACCCGCGAAGATGCTTTTTAGAATGGGTCTACAGCTACCCATGTTTGTCGTAAGAGGCCACTAAACAGAACGGTGGGTCAGGCTCGCTGACTTGGTTGAAACATGTCATAGCATCCCAATTGCGTAATCAATGCTCATGATATCAGTCACTGGATTGTCTGGTCCATTATTTATAGACCGCCGTCATATAGCTGGAACATTGCTGACTTTGGCGTTAAGCAGCAAACAAATAAACAAACCTGAACATGCCTGGACGGATCATATTAATTAACTTCCACTATGACGCTAACAACAACATCACCACTGTTGATTCGATGTGACCACGTATATCCAACGACCAAGATGTTTGATGTGTAACATGTTGGTAGTATCCTCTGAAGAGTGCGTTAAACTATTTGAGAAACATTTATAAGTTGGGTACTAAGTAAGGACGAAACATGTGGATGAACATCATTGTAAATACAGAAGTTTTTCATCCATACATCTTATCTTTACTTAGCGCAATGCACCATTAAAATGATGTAGTGTACCTCACGTAGATAAAAGAGAAGCGTGATATATGCATTGTTATATCGACATAGACCAGATGCAATATTATTGATTGATAAGTCGTATCGATGCTGATCTCTAAAAGGGAAGGCGTCATATCATATAACGATCTAGAAGAGCATTGTGTGAATATGTTTCGCTTATCATAATACAGAAGCACGTGTTGAAACGATACCGGGATTCCATAGATTACAAAATAACCGGAAAAAGGAGTAGACTTCAAAAGGGTTGCTGAAAACAGACAGTTATCGATTTCAAATTGATGATGCATTCTATTCTGATCGCTGTTGATTAAAAATGAACTCAGCATATATACAAAACTGAGGTGCTGAATTAGAGAGGTGTTGATGTAGGGAGGTGCTGAAACAGAGAGGTGCTGATGTAGACAGATGCTGAGATATGGAGGTGCTGAAGTAGAAAGATGCTGAGATATGGAGGTGCTGAAATAGAGAGGTGCTGATGTAGAAAGATGCTGATATATGGGGTTCTGAAATACAGAGGTGCTGATGTAGAAAAGTGCTGAGATATAGGGGTGCTAAATTAGAGAGGTGCTGAAGTAGAAAGATGCTGAGATATGGGGATGATGAAATAGAGAGGTTCTGATGTAGACAAGTGCTGAGATATGGGGATGTTGAAATAGATAGGTGCTGATGTAGAAAGATGCTGAGATATGGGGTTCTGAAATAGAGAGGTGCTGAAGTAGAAAGATGCTTAGATATGGGGATGATGAAATAGAGAGGTGCTGATGTAGACAAGTGCTGAGATATGGGGATGATGAAATAGAGATGTCCTGATGTAGACAAGTGCTGAGATATGGGGATGATGAAATAGAGAGGTGCTGATGTAGACAAGTGCTGAGATATGGGGATGATGAAATAGAGAGGTCCTGATGTAGACAAGTGCTGAGATATGGGGTTCTAAAATAGAGAGGTTCTGATGTAGACAAGTGCTGAGATATGGGGATGATGAAATAGAGAGGTCCTGAAGTAGAAAGATGCTGAGATATGGGGTTCTAAAATAGAGAGGTCCTGATGTAGACAAGTGCTGAGATATGGGGATGATGAAATAGAGAGGTGCTGATGTAGAAAGATGCTGAGATATGGGGTTCTGAAATAGAGAGGTCCTGATGTAGACAAGTGCTGAGATATGGGAATGATGAAATAGATAGGTGCTGATGTAGAAAGATGCTGAGATATGGGGTTCTGAAATAGAGATGTCCTGATGTAGACAAGTGCTGAGATATGGGGATGATGAAATAGAGAGGTGCTGATGTAGAAAGATGTTGAGATATGGGGTTCTGAAATAGAGAGGTGCTGATGTAG